GGTCCCGGTTCCCCGGCCGGCAGCCGGGCTCCGGGCGGGGGGCGGCAGGGCGGGCTCACCTCAAACATAAGCCCCAGCAGGAAGACCATCGCCACACAGGAGACGATGTCCGCGTGATTCTGCAGGACGAACTCGTGGCTCAGGACCGGGGGGCTCTTGGTGCTCTTCTTGCGAATCGCCATGGTGGGGTCCGCCGCCCGCGCCTGCAGGTGCTCTTCCCCGGCTCTGCTCGCCCCTGCTGCTCACCGACCCGCCGCCGCCGCCTCCTCCCCCTCGCTGCTCCTCACAGCCTCGCCGCAGCCGCTCGCTGGGGCTTCACTTCCCATCCCATCCCATAGCCAGTACGCAGCCGCTGGGGCCGCCCGGAAAAAAAAAAAAAAAAAAAAAAGAGCCCACGGCGGAGGCGCGCATGCGCACTGGGGAGACCGTGCTAGCGTTGCCTCGGACGCCCCTGGCAGTCAACCCACAGCGCCCCCGAGTGGTCGGAGGCCGCGGCCCGCGGACGTGATTGGACCCTGGTGACCCACCCGGCTCTGCACCCTTAGGTTTAGGGTTTGAAGGGGGTGGGGGCCGAGGGTTACATGTCGTTTGAGACGCGAGCTTGAACGAACTGAGACCTCTGCGGGGCTCAGGGCAGCCGCGTGCTGTGGCGCACACGGCAGCAACCGTACCTTCTGCCCCTGCTGGTCGCTGTGGGGTCACGCTGTGGGTCACACTGATGGTCATTTGTGTAAACTGTGAAAATACGACTATAGCCTGGTCACACATGGGCGCGGCACATTCTCTAGTTTAAGCATCTGCTTTAGAATTAATTTCAGAGTTCATTTAAACATTTCTTTGGACTTTTACCACAGGATGGGGGAGGGGTCTTCTATCCATATCCATCCCCCAAAACCCTTGGGACTGATGCAAGGGGGGTGGGATCATTCTAAATTTACCCGTTTTATATTATTAACAATGCCTTCTAGTAATCTGGACAGAAAGTAAAAAAGGATTGTGGATTAATCATGTCTTCCTCTTTTTATCGGTATGCCCAAAGAGCCGTTTATAGTGTCCCTTGACAAACTGCACCACTGTTTAGCCATGTGCTAAATCTATACTCCAAACTCATCCTAGATTAAGAGCCCTATCAACAACTATCCAGTCCAATCCATCACTAAATCCAGGCAATATATCTGTCTTTCCCCTCCCCACTGCCACAGCCCCGGGTAAGGATATACCTCTTGCTTAAGGTGTGCATCACGACGCCCGGTTTTGGTGGCCGGTGCAGGCCAGCAACACTGTGTTGTAGGGGATGTAGCTCGGTGTGAAGGCCCTGGTTTCAAGACTTAGTTAACAAGAAGGAAAAAAAAAAAAAAAAAGAAGAAGAAAGAAAGAAAAAAAGAAAGAAAAAGGAAAAAAAAGGAAGCGGAAGTATTTGATCTCTGTAAGACTTGATTTCCTCATTTTTGTATTCATACATTAAAAGTAATATGTCTTAGGTATGTTAACTTTTCACTGTGACAAAATACCCGGGGGGAGGGGGGAGGGAAACGTATAAAGAAGGGAAGATTTATTTTGGCTTGTGGTTTCAGGGTTGTTTGGCCACACAGCTCCAGGCCTGTAGTAAGGCAGAACGTCATGGTGAGGAGCTTGTGGACTGAAGCTGCTCACTTAACAGCAAGAGAGGAAGTCAGAAGAAAACACACCCTTCAAGGCGTCTATTTCCTTCAAGTAGGCCCTACTTTGGAAAGTTTTCAGTGTTTCTTGACAGCCCCAGAAAATTATGAAACCATCAATAGATCAACCCATTGAGAAAGTTTGAGCCCTTATCATGCATTGTCCTCACCTTGGCCAGAAAAAGACTGACTCCTCAGCACAGCTCTTCAGAACATTGATGTGAACTCCTGTTTCTGGCATGCTCTTTGCTCTCCAGTCTGGGTCCTAGGAGGATTTTTTTTTTTTTTTTTTTTTTGGCTGGCTCAGTAAGGCATGGGGAGCTGGGGATTGAACCGAGGTCCCCTGCGCCTGACTGGGTTTGCCCCAGCAGGGGCTTAAACAACTGAGCTAACCTGCAAGCCCCCATGGGTCCTAGAATGAGATCCTGTCCTCGATGACCTCACAGATATTTGAGTTACTTCTACCATTTGGCTATTGTGAATAATGCTGCTATGACCATTTGTGTACAAGTTTCTGAGGATTGGGGAGATAGCTCAGCAGCATAAGCGCCCACCTAGCGCAAGGTCCTGAGTTTGAGTCCCAGTACCCTCTCTTCCCCTGCAAAAAAGTGAGGAAAGTTTTTGTTTGAACATGTTTTTTATTCTTTTGGGCATGTACGTAACAATTAATTGTTGGTCATAAGGTAACTTTATTTTAACCTTTTCAAGAAGTTACAGACTGATTTCCAAAGTGGGTGCAACATTTTACAGCCCTATCAAACTCCTGGAGTTTCTTTACATCCCAGCAACACCTGGTTTCTTTTCTTTAAAAAAAATTTTTTTAGGGGGAAGTAAATGGATGATTTCTTTTCTTTCTTTCTTTCTTTCTTTCTTTCTTTCTTTCTTTCTTTTTTTCTTTCTTTCTTTCTTTCTTTCTTTCTTTCTTTCTTTCTTTCTTTCTTTCTTTCTTTCTTTCTTCTTTCTGTTTTTTCAGAACAGGGGATTGAACTCAGGCCCTTGTGCTTGCCAGGGAAGGGCTTATTCCACTGAGCCATCTCCCCGGCCCTGTTTTTTTCTTATAGGAACAATAAAATATGGAATTTAAATGGATTCTTTGGGTTTGCGCTCATCTGTCTTATACTTTAAAATATATCAAATTGGGATTTTTATATTTTGGTTTTCATAGATTATTTACCTTGAAAAACTTGCTTTTAATTTTTAAAATTTACCAAAATTATATCTGCCGTGAGCCCTATACATATTTTCTGGCTTTGCTCTTCTCCATCCTTCTGTGACACCATCAGTGAACCATCACAGAGGTTGATTAGAGGGATGTAACCAGACATCGGGCTCACAGGAGTTTTGGACACAAATTGAAAGGGAGCCATTAAGCAGAACACATGATTTTTTTTCTGCAGTCATGTCTTCCTGCAGGTGTAGAGAAGGCAGAATCAGGTTTTGCAAGGCCAGCAAGGTAGGGGCAAGGATGTTAACGATATGAGCAGATGGGGGCAGGGCAATGAATCAAAGACCATGTGGAGCAGTCATGGGTGTTGTGCCATCTTCTTTTTCCTCACAACTCATTTCATTCTCCTACTGTGAAAGACAAGCAGCTGCAAATGGCTTTATTTTAGTTAGAATACAACTGGGCATCAGTGGAAGGCTCTGGCCAAAAACTGAAGAGTTTGACAGGTATTCTCTCTTGATCCCTCTTTACCTTACCACAGTTCTGGCAATGGTCAGCTTCTGTGGTGGCTACAGCTTTTTGCAGATGTCCCAGCTTAGATCTGAATTGTATCCCAGAAGTCTCACATCTTCAGAAGCGGGGTCTTTGGTGGGTGATTAGAACATGAGGGCTTTAACTTTATTAGTGGATTAATCCATTCATGAGATCATAGTTGACAGCATTATTAGGAGGTAATGGAAATGTAGTAGGTGGGGCCTGGTTAAAGGAAGTGAATGATGACATGACCTTAGGAACTATATTTTGGTCTTGGCTGCTGCTTGGTTCCTAAAAAATATTTGTTATTTTTATTTATCTGTTTTTTATATTTATTTATTTATTTGTTACAGGGTCTCACTACACAGTTCAGACTCATAGTGATCCTCCTATCTCAGCCTCCCCAGTGCTGGAATTACAGGCATGCACCACCATGCCTTGGAGTGCACCTGAGGTTCCAGGCCAGCATGGCATGTGGTACTGAGGATCGAAGTCAGGTCCTTGAGCTTGCTAGGTAGGCGCTTAGACCACCAAGCTACCTCCCCAGCCCTGGTTCCTTCCTTTTGTTTTTGCTTCCCAGGTGAGCAGCTGTTTTCTGCCATGCCTTTCCACCATGATGTTCTGCCCTCCCTCAGGCCCATATCAATAAAATCAGATGACTATAGACTGAAACTTCTGAAATGGTGAGCCACGATAAACCTTTCTAAGTGACTGTTCTCAGTATTTTGTCACAGCAAGAAGCAGTTCACTAACACAGCAGGTAAGCCTCCTCTCACTGTTCTAGCTCTTCATCTGGGCTCCAGTGACCTCCTTCTCTCCCCTGCCCCTTCCAGCTACTGGTGGTAAGTTTTCCAACTTCCTATTCTCTTCCTTCTTCACCATTTCCTATTGATTCCCTCAGTTGCTCACTGCTCTGTGAATCGGCCTTTCCCAAAACTCTTTCTGATTGAACCCTTTTGAATGAGTCATCTTTTCCTAGTTAGTTCTCTCCCAGAGAAAAATAATATGAAAGCCTCTGACTCAGAAGTGCCTACTGGGTTGACGAATTGTTGGAAGGTGAGTTGAAGAAGGAGTGGCCAGAGATGGGATGCTAGAAATGATTTCAGAGCTTTTAGTCATTGGCAATGAGACAGGCAGAGTAGATGGTTAGAGTGATAGCTGAGATAGATGGAGGAGGCATGGAAGGAAGGGGTCTAGGCAATAGAAGGCTAGGGTGCTTGACACACTTAATATAGCTATTAAATTATTGAGAATGAAAGAGTGAGATGTAAAGGGAGCCAGTGAGTGAGCCAGGCACTACCAGCTGCTGTGAGTGAAGAGGGGTCATTGGGTCATGGAGGTGAGTGGGCTTCCAGAAAAGCTGGGCTTTTGAGAAAGGAAGCAATATCTGTTGGTATCAATGAGAGTTATGAAAGACACCCCACTCTACCCCTACTTTCTGTAGTATGTGGGGTGTAGGGGGAAAAAACCACAACTGCCTGTTGAGAAGGCTATAGGGAAATTAGGTTTCTGGTTTCAGTTGGAGAGGTAGTCGTATTTTTGAGAAAGAAGGGAAAGAAAATATTCAGAAAGGAATGAAGTGTGCATGGGATTGGTAGCGGGCACATGTAGGGTTCTAAGGAATACAATGGAAGGGTTTGAAGACTGGGGAGGTGCTTTTAGTGTAAGTAAAATAAAGGATGAACAGAGCATTGTGGGAGAGAATGTGGCCATCCAATATGGAGGTTTGTATGTGGTAAGGTATGTTAAATGGCTGCCAGAGGACTGATGCTCCAAAGCAGTGTTTATCTGAATAAGCACTGGTATACACTGCTATGATGAAACATAGCTGGTCTGAGGCATCGGGGGCAAAGGAGAAGCTTTTAAAGATAGAAATGAGAAGGCCATATAAGTATCTCAAAGATAATTGGTAACAAATGCTTATTGTAGAAGTTGGTGTTGACTGTTAATGGGGATAGCCATTAGTAGGCAGGCATCTGTGTGAAGCAACTGTTGGCAATACTATAGTTTTGAGG